CAATACAAATAAAGTAAAGATATACACACTTTGCAACATTGGCGCAATACACGGTTAAAGCAACAACGCGATCTAATATTAAGATACACGGTATCGTTAAAATGGCTCTCAATACGCCATCCCGACAAGTCGCGAGCGCCATCTAGCGACGGAGCATTAAAAGACGTATATACTACTTGAAAGAAATGTCGTTCAAATTTGCACCTGTCTTTGATTGTATTGCCGTTCGTCGTCTAGAACATCGTAAAATCTCTCAAAAGAGTTTACAGATAGAAGGATCATTTCGTTGTAGTGTGGCTGATGTATAATAGGAAACCCACATGTATGAAACTATGAAACATGGTTATATATATTGAATACCGCCCCCTATTGCCCATTTATAACATTACTGCATAAATGGAAGATTAACAAGTTTATATTTTTTTCTTCTTTCTTTTTTCTCTAGGAAAACCGGAAGGCAATGCGCGATGCGCATCATCTTCTGGGACAAGTTCAGCATAAATCAAGTAAACTACTAATGAACAGTTATAAAGTTGTACAAAAATTCCTTAGTACATGAACATGAACCACGCACGACATGCTCGAGCGTGTTCGTCTGGAACACAGTAAACGAATTACTGAAGCTAAGTTATAAGAGAAAACCCATGGACATGTTTTGTGACCAAATTTACATGAAAAAGAAGAGTTGCCAGTTTGTGCATCAACATGATGTCCTCTCACTGTAGGTCATTGTAAGTGTTCACAGTATACTAAACATTTATTTTTGTATTAATTTGTTATTGTTTTGAAAAAAAAATAGAGAAAACATAATAATGTCGGGGTACAGTACATCATATTAACGCTTTTCAAAACAACTGAGAACAATTCAGTGAGGAGCGCTGTGGCAAACAGTGAAATATACTAGTATTGTCTCATAATTGTAAAAGATATTGTCTGTCACACGATCCGTTACAATCAAAACATCTGTCACTCATAATATCAACATTTTCAGGGAATATTATGTAATATACTGTAGAAATTACCAACATGGATAATTAATCTGAATATGAATATGTATTAGTTTTACGATTAACAGTTTGTTCTTGTAGTTTAAACTCCAAACTAAGTATTTACATTTTCGGCTACTAGCATCACAGCGGACAACTGTTTGCTATCCGGAACACGTAAGTATGTGTGCGCCTTAGGTTTACATTTACATCTGGGTAATTTGATAGTCTGATTTAAATAGCACGCTTTTATCGAATGAAGAATATCGCTATAATATGGTTTTAGTTCAAAAAATAAACGTTTTTATATTTACGAGAACATAATTATTCCTATCAAGACGCCAAAATTATTTAAAAGAACCACATACAAACCCTGAGTTATATTATTGCCTACAGTATTGAATGAAACTGATAAAGGCAAAATTATAAAAATAAATGTAGACATTTTCATTCTCAGTTGGTCTACATTGACTGATGTCGTCTATTATCGGCATTTAAGTTATTAAGCCACGGGTTTGTTTAAAAACTTTTTTTTCTCTCCGATGCCACCCCTTACTATTTTAAAGATAATTTCACGAACATGATGGTTTTAACTGGAATTGCAGATAAACGCACAATTGAACGCCTACATAACATGCAATTTTGAAATCATCTTCTCAAAATTGAGTGAAGTTTTGTTTCGTTTTACGATAATTTGCCGGAACTGACGCTAAACGCGCCGGTAAAGCCTGTATATCATGCATGGTTTTTTTTTCGTAATCAGCACCCAAAATTGATCAACAATAGTCTTGCAAATGTCCCTGCCGATAGCACCTCATTCCTTGGCCTCCTGGTCTATAAGTAGCCATATGTTTTCGATATGAATATTGAAGCCAATTTTCGAAAGTAATTAAAACGCTCATATGTAGTGGAATTTGTTTTAACATTGGATTTTGTTATCGTGGGCTTAGATGAGTCTGCACCATACTGTTACCTATGTAGGACCATACGACACTGAACAGATGTGCAACATCCCACACACGCACATAAACAGAACGTTTTTTTTTTTTTAATCAAATTCCACCCAACAGAAGACAACTGCGTGTAAGTACAGCGAGTAAGTTTAATCATTGTCACAGGAATTCCAGATTGGTCGTATGAAAGGTATTATTTTCTTGCGAGGAATTGTGGATCTATGATGGTCTATGCTGTAAATAAATTATACAAAATTGGCCAATTATTCTCATAACGCAAGAAAAATGGAATGGCAATATTGCTGTATATGAGACACCGTTTTGTTAATGATATAGCTATACTGCTCACAGTGTTTGTCATCGCTTCATGTGGCGACTTTTCAATACTTCTTGCTGTCGCAGTAATATAGTTAGATGTACACCAGAACTACATACCGGTAATTATTTATTCCTCTAAAACTAACAATGACGCAATCCCTCTATCCCAGGTCTGGAAACCCCAGAGCAATAGATAGACTGTAATTATAAGCATATTTTAGACTATTGAAATTCCTAAATTTGTATTTGTTTTTCACAAGAGTGTAATGTTAAACTGAGGTCAAAGTCTGGTGAAAGCCAATTTACAGAGGTCATCAACATAAGTTGGTATTATGGTAGTAACATCTACATTTCTTTATTTCAAGTGCTGGGTATTTTCCACACGCATGTGTATCCCATAGTGATGTTGTTCTGTTTACATAAATATATATGTTAATGAACTTCCAGTTGCCCCAACGATACTACAATAAAACAGTGGCGCAATAGATCGTGAAATTGACATACACAAAATATCGCCTAAGAATACCTACGACTGTGGTTTAACTTGTACAAGAAAAATGCTGAGAAAGATGGTTTGATAAAACATATGTATATAAACGCTTCATGTCACCAATTTAATGAAAATGTGTGCAAAGGGTCTAGAAGGGGCAATTAACATTTGGTGTTTTTATAAATACACCAAATTTGCTGTGATCAATAAATATTTCTCTTGTTCGATAAATCGTACATGTGCGTTTAAAATTGAATTTCACAACAAATAATTCAATAAATTGTTGTAGAATACGTTACCCACCGACAGACTTGGGGTATGGCCTCATAGCATTGCAGCGATGTTTTCAATACTGCACCATGAGAAGCCCATACTCATTTGGAGATATTTTAATAGCTCGTCTTGTGGTAAGGAGGATCCGAATTGCCCATGTAATCTCGTATCTAAATATCGCCCATTCTTGTTGTAAACAGCTCTCAAATTATGCTAGATTTTCCCAATACTCCTACCAACAATAACAGTTTAGGCCTTATACTGTTACCATGGCCATAACCCTTAAAATGCTTCTTATCATCGGGATATGAACATTCAAAATATGGAATGAATACATTCCAAGATTGCAGACGTTTTTGAAAACTAAGTTCACGGTGAGAAAGAGCTATTAATTTTCATCATTTTACTCCGCTCTGGGCCTCTATATAAAGTGGTTGGTTGGCAAAAATGTACAAGTTTATTACAAGGATACCTGGTCGCATCAACCTCTGCTACACATTGAATAATCCGGCTGTACTATCTTTATGCATTTTTTAGGGCATCCTCGTGATAACCACGTATTGGGATCACATGAATGTGTGCCAAGTTTGAAAGCCCATACAAAACATGCATTACGGTACTCGTACTGTAACCTCAAAAAGTAATAATATTTTGAGAATTGCAAATTGATCATGTATGCCAAATTTGAAGGCACCAGCTATTTTTTCTTCATAGTTACTTAAATGTTTTTATTATGTCCTGTGGGTGCCACAGGGAACATTGTTGCCAAGTTTGAAGTCTCTAGCTATTTTTCACCCTATAAACACAGAAATGCATGCATACTGCACTCAACACTCTCCCTGTGTGCTGACACAGGTAACTAATAATAACCAGACTATGCAACTCATCTTAAAGCGCTTAAAATTCAGAGATCATAAGTATTTATTTGTACACAAGTGTATGTTTACAACTCTTGGATATGCTCAATTATTTTATCTGTAAAACATGGAAATGTGAAAAAACACACTATAACAAAACTACCATCACACAATTTCAATGACAAAACTCTACAAGGGATTTAATGGTAAGTATAGTAGGATAGCGGACAAAAACACTTATCATACGACTATGGCGAATATCATTTGCAATTGTGATATTACATGTGAAATATCTGCTGATATAGGATGGCAGATGTCACAATATCAAGTTAAATGTCATCATTTTATTAATGTTTCAAATCATGTGGCGGTAACAATTTTAATGCAATACGAGAATTTTATCACCTGTACTCAAATGGTGCAATAACACTAACTTGTAATAATATCGACCAAATATTTATTTCAAACAAATATTGATAAAAGGGTGAAAATATAAGCAGCCGCCTGCAGTCAAAACTTCCAATGTGCTTAGATGTCATGATTTGTAAGCGTTAACTATTTCTTGTCATAAAAATGTTGTCGCCTGAAATCACCTATCCATAGAGCTGGCCAAAACTCAAGCTGTTATGGGCTGTGTGTATTATCCACTAAACTTCGGGTTCATAATAATTCTATCTCATAACGTCACTTGTATAAACCAACTCTACAACCAAGCCATCCCAGGTGATGGCCTTGTAAAATACAACACTAAATAACTAGAGCTATAAAGGAAATGCAACAAATTTGAAATTCTAATAGCTTACAATTTACAATGTACTTCAGGGCAGTTTTGATACAAATTTCACGACTAAATATGAGCATGATTCTATTCTACAGAAGAGATGCTAAATGTCATATTTCCAATTACGTGCAAAAGAAGTGAATTAATTTCATGATGAATCTTTTGACAGAAGTCGAATATTGAAATATTTTTTTAAAGTAACTGTAAAGCAAAAAAAGATAATAAACGAAGGAATGTAAAACAGATACCAGTAGGAAATAAGCAAAAAAAAAATTAAAATAGCTTTAATATTTCACATTCGAGTCATTCAGCGGAATGTTTCAATATTAATTAACAGTCCTGAAATGATTCTTGATCTGATCATAAACTTGGCTATAAAAACAGGAATAGAACAGTTATTGCTGTTCACTTTTGCTATCAACTTAAGCACAGGTATCTCAAAACACTATACTAGTATAGTAACACAGTACTAGCTGGGGTATAACGTGAAGACTACAAAAGGATATAATTAAACCTCAAACAAACCTGATGTGGTGAATAAAATGTCATGATTAATTTTTCTATAAAAAAAGTACTGAATGAAAAGTAGTGAAATTGACAAATATTGGTTGTTAAATATTATCTCCACTACTGGATGCACCAAAGCCTAAACCAAAACTCCTCTGTGTATGTGTCTTCACTCTAGCAATTTCATACTGTTCATCCAGTGTCTGATAAAGTTTAGCTCTTTCATGCTGCTGTTTCTCAAGTTCTTCAGATTTGCCTTATAAAAAAGAAAGAAAAGATAAGTATTTACATTCTATTCACAACAGTAATTTCAAGCAACACGCCAAGAATCATCAAATGCTTACACATCAACATTAATTCGGCTTTTCTTCACAAGGGGTTTTTGTTCTGCCGACCAGTTATTCCACGCACAAGGAAAAAAGAAAAAAGTAAACATTTCTAAGCAAAATGGGCAACCTAGTGAGCATTTTCTAGATTGCAGGAAACTGTTTAAAGCTACAGATACTTTTCCTATCACTTTGACTATCCCGTTTCTATGGCGACTTGCAAAGAACCACAAATCCTTGACAGCAATGTACATGTATCATGTTCTAATTGTCATTTTTATATTTTTAAAATGATTGACAACAACACACAAGGACAAATACCAGAGGAATTTTCATTGACTTCATATGCATTTTTTTATGATGTATACTACATCTACTAATAGCGTTTTAACAGATAAAAAACTGCACTAAAACAAAAAAATTTAGCTTCAAATATCTTATTGCCATGGTAATCAGCTAAGTTTGGATGTCTATGGAAATTATGCACAATTCAAAAATTTACTCCCTCACAACATTATGATCTGTCCATCTGGATCTGATAAATGAAATGCAAATATAATAATTATGGCTTTTCTGGTTACAATTGTTAAAGCGCGGTGGTCGTTGCGCAGCGCGTGTTCGAATTTCATGTAAACAAACAATGTATTTTACATGCGTTGTATACGTCGCTATGAGTCCAATATCGAACATGACGCGGCACGACGACTGCCCTCCTTTAAACATACCTCCATCAGCAGCCGCTGCCTGCTCTGTTTTGTCCCCTTTCATACCCATCAAACGTCTGAATTTTTCTTGCTGATCATTGTCACTAAACATGGTATTTTCCCATTTGTTGGCCGACGCCTGTGCTTGCGCCTGAGCCTGTGCTTGAGCTTGTGCTTGAGCTTGAGCTTGGGCAGCTTGCTGTTCTTGCTGCAAATGAATTGAAGGTATTTATTCTCAACTGTATCGCACAAAAACAATGAATATATTGTAAAAGTTTCAGCAGCCTAAACCTAGCACCAAAAATGGAAACATAGTCTTCGTCACCAGACAACATCCCCATACTGAATATTGAGTAGAAAGTAAGGTTGTATCTATAATTACTGCTACTGGTAATGTTCAACAACAATTGTATATGTATCTGTTGCAAGGCTTGCAATTCATGAAGACAGTGAATGCCACTGCTTAGATGCCCTACTGGGATAACTTCATGCCCTTTAAAAGTAAGAAAATGGTCTTGAAATTTGGTGACCTAATAATATTGAAGTCCAGGCCTCAATTGTGTACAGAGTTAGGGTTTGAGGTCAGTTAGGCACAGGAAATCACATGCAAGTCTACATCAGACAAAGCCACTTTCACACTAATTGGATGCTGAGTGCCAGATATATATTCTTAGCTTGAGCTATTGAATGTGGGATGAACTGGCAATTTAAGTTGGTCATGTCAAATTTCAATCATTATGAATTGATGGTAAGTATAGTATTACCAGTTTAAGGAAACGACTGGATTAGATTTTTGAAATGAATAAACGTTTTAATACACAAACATAACAAGTAGCAATCTCATAAGCACCAATTTGATTATTAGTTGACTCTAAAGCTGAAGAACAAACTACAGTAAAACAAGGGGACAGGGTATTTTACACATACAAGAACATGGAAGATACTGAGAATGGTGTTCAATTTAGGCAGGTTTCACTGTACATATATTTGCCTATTCAGTTGGATTAGCAAAATGGTTGTTTCATACTGAAATAAATAATTATTGAAAGAATTTCTCACTTCTTTTTTATCTTTAGAAGATCCCCAGAGAAGTTTTCTCTTCTTCTGTTGTTCAGCAAACTGTAAAGGATTCACTGCAGTTGGGTTGTAATACTTGGGAACAGCAATACCAGTCTCTGCATAAACCTGAAGCATACAGATTAACAGTGTTAATGGACAGCAGACAGCATCATTAGTGAAACATCACATCAGTATACACATCAAGATAAGTAATTTTGCCTTCCATCTACAATGTACATACATTTCCCAAACCAAGCCTTTTTTTGTATGTGCATTTTTGGAACCTAATGCAATGTGATAGCATATAAGGTAAGTAAGTATATAACAAAACCTTACCCTGGCTTGCATAGCAGCAGCTGCTGCTGCAACAGCTTCCTGTGGTGTGACTTGTCCCATGGAGTCTGCTAACAGAACAGCTGCATTTACTGTGGGATAACAAAACAAGTATGAGGAAGTTGTAACAACTGTCAGCATTACAGAGCAAAAGTGTTATGTATTTTGATGTTATTTACCAAGAAACAATAACCATCCAAGTAAAACATATATTGACCATCATTCAGTTCAAAAGAGCGAGAAACACAATAGGATACTTAATTAACACTTAATTAACATCACTTGAAAAATTGTTATTAAAGAAATATAACACCATTATGTATATAATTTTAGACTTTTTACAGTACTGGGCAGAAAAATCCAAGTGACTCACATGATTTCAAATCATCTGATGGTGGATTAAGTTTTTCCCTCTCGATTCTTTCCCTCTCTTTCTCTTTAGCTTTTTCCAACCGCCGTGCTAAAGCTTCCTGGGCAGCCATTGCAGGATCATCTTCAAAGCCAAAGCTGCTACTCCGTCGAGATCTATCTTTGGAGCGACGTCTTCTACGATATCTTGGCGAAGGTGATCTAAATAAAGTCATACATTTCGGCATTTCCATTATTTTGGTTATTGAAGTCATGGATCAATAAGCGTAATTTGAATTATATCAGTCAAGTGGTTCTGAGTGGTTCATGTTAGTTTAAATGTTGAACAAGTTACTGCCATGCTAAAGCTATTTAAGTTTTGGAAAAAGAGCAGATAACATATACATGTAAATCAATATGAACTTCAGAATGGTTCATTCTGCATTATTCAGATAAAAATCAAATTCTACACAAGAAATTTAGATTTACAGCCCTTTAGGTAACGATAAATTTTAGACAGCAGAGAAGATCCCTACCTTCTTCGTCTTGGACTTCTTGACCTAGATCTCCTTCTCCTGGCCCTATCACGGGATCCTGATATTCTCCTCCTTCCTCTAGAACGAGACCTACTTCTCCTTCCTCTAGAGCGAGACCGGCTTCTTCTTTTTCCTCTAGAACGAGATCTGCTTCTTCGATTTGTCCTAGAACGAGATCGGCTTCTTCGCTTTGTCCTAGAACGAGATCTGCTTCTTCGCTTTGTCCTAGAACGAGATCTGCTTCTTCGCTTTGTCCTAGAACGAGACCTGCTTCTTCTCTTTCCCCTTGAACGAGACCTGCTTCTCCTACTGTGCCTTTTTCCTCTGGAACGAGACCTACTGCGCCTCCTATCTCTTGACAAACTTCTTCTCCGTTTGAATTTTATTGGTGACAAACTTCTTCTCTCGCCTTTAGATCTTGATCTTGACCGATCTTGCTTTGATCTTGAATGTGATCGACTTCTTCTGGATTTTATAGGAGATGTACTTTTTCTAGGGTTTGACTTTGAACGCGAGCGACTTCTAACTTTGTTTGGAGATTCACACTTTAATTCTTTGGATCTTGAACATGAACGACTTCTACTTTTGTATGGATATTTATTTTGCCCAACATCTTTGGATCTTGATTGTGAGCGACTTCTATCTTTGAATGGAGAATTAATTCTATTTTTTTCTTTGGATCTTGAGCGTGAATGACTTCTACTTTTGTATGGAGATATGGGTCTTTCCTTTGACTTTGAACGTGGCCTATATCTTCTACCCTTAGACTGAGATAGTCTTCTCTCACGTGAACATGATCTACTACGCCTTCTCTCATCCGATCTCTCCCTTGCTCTGTATTTTGACGGACTTCTGGATTTGGATCTGCTACATTTTTTCCTAAAAGGTGGTGACTTGCTGTGATGTTTTTCATGAGATGGTGATCTGTCTACTGTTTTCTGTTTTGATGAAATATCCTGTGAACAGGATCTGTCCATCTCCGTTGACAACCTTTGAGGGTGCTGATCTTCTACTGGCGATGCATTCCTCGTGCCACGATTGTCCACATCCTGTTTGGGGGAGAATGGGGTTCTTAGAGAAAAAATGGCCAACAGAACATGTTAGTAATGAAAACTCTCAACTTTCACATTGATTTGTGGTGCGAGTAGTGGATGGGGCGGCTTTTTAGAGCAAAGAACATTATTTGCTCAGTGTTGGTTTAGAGTAGGGATGCGTAAAAATCTCTTTTGGGGTATTGAAGTTTGAGTAAAGTTTATTCATCAAGTACAATTTGTATCACAAAAATTGTTTTACCAAGAGATTACTACATGCCCCTATTCTACACCAACGCCATTTGCTTGATATACATATATGCATTTCTTTTCAAAAATACAGATACAATAGCATGTAAAAAATATAAGACGCAGCTAAAGTGCACAGAAACAGTTTTCTCAATATACAAAAGAAAGACAGTGAACAAAAAAGAGGCATACACCAATACCACCCAGGAGAATACAGGATTAACCGGCAACAATTCTATAACTCAGATTATAGCTGAATTATAAGAATATTAACTGTTCTCCTGTTTGGTGACGTTCAAAAAGATGCTTGATTCTGAGCTAATTCAAAAAAGACAATATTTAAGAAACAAAAAATTCATTTCATATAATACCGGGAGAGGATGTAAGTTAACAATCAAAAGATGGAGAGCTGCTCTTTTCTACCTGTAAGCAAGTATGGTTAGTCAGTTTGTGATTGAGGTTGGGATACAAAACTTGATACATGTAAAAGTTTCTTAGGCTCCCCAAATGACTTAGCCTCACACAAATTCAAAATTTTACATTTTCTAAAAATGTTAGAGTAATGTATGAATGCTGTTGTAAAGGATGAATTAGAATTAAGTTGAGGTCTACAGTTTGGGGGGTCCAAGAATCTATTACCAGTAGATACAAATTACCACCTGGATCCAACTAAATCAGCACAAGTCTACCAATTACAATATATTATTTACCCTACTGAAAATTGGTACAGGTTTCCACCAGATGTTTTCTACTCACCTTTTGTGGAGAACTGGACATTCTGTTTTGCAGGTGATGGTCTAAGGCATGACTTGCATGGCCAACTTGTAAGTCTTCGATTGGCCGTTCATGTCTTGGATGAGGCTGGGTGTATTACAGTGGGTATGACAAAATGTGTTATCAAGGGAACTTAAGTAAGTTGGTCATCAATTTTTGATTCGTCAGATGCCAAATACCAAGTTGAGTGCTGACTTATTTTTGGACATCAAAAGAAGTTAATATTTAGCTCAGTTACATTTCCAGAATATCAAAACAGAACATGTCAGTGGTGGGCAGAAATATCACCTCAGCAACTTTTTGATAATTGTTAAAGCAAAAGTTTAATTGTTTATCAAATATTACCATAAAAAAAATCCAAAAATTTTGACCACATTTAAATAATACATGTAATTAGTTCTGAAAAACTGTTTCAGGGTAAGACTAAGTGAATACAAAAACATTGGGTAACATTTATTGTTAGGAAAGAAACATTTCTGTAAATGTTTCATTGCCATTAAAAACATGAGCTAGCACAATAGAAACGCTTGGATTTGAATTGCATGAGCAGGTAAATGTGTACATTTCATCTGTCTACAAATGCTGTTGAAAACTCTTTCAACACTCATTTTACCTTTTAAAAAGTGCCACACAATTCTGTTTGATTAATGATGTTCTTGACCCAATAGATGGCAAGGCGGATAAACTCATGGCTAAATATAACAAATCAGTTTTACACGAATTTGTCCTGTTTATTTAAAGCGTGAAATAATATTGAAGCATGGATCAAAGAAAAACTAAAATAGATTATACTAATACAATTTTAGACAGAATTTTATTAAATTAAACAAATCTGTCAAATAATTATGTGGTCAAATTTTCAGAGGTGAAAAACCTAAAAGTTTTTACGGTAATATTTATGTTGATTTACTTCAAGGGGCTTTATGAGTGGTGTAACTGATCATGAATACTTGTTGTTTGGAATAATAGAGTAATTTAGGCAAAAACAGCAAAATATCCTACCTCTTTGCTTCTGCTCCTACTTCTATTACCTCTTTTTTCTTCAGAAAATCTTCTTTCTTGATCTATGGAGTCATGAAAAAAAGTTTAATTGAAAATTTGCAATAATAGACAACAAAGCCATCAACATTTTTTTGTTTACTTTTCATCAGTAGCATGAATAATCACCAACTGATATACCTCTACATGAACCAGTGCCCATTTTCTATGTGTAGCTATAAGCAAAGATTATTATAATCTACAAAAAAAACCTTGTGTCTATGCCAAACAGCATTTCTTATTCAACGCCCTAACAATGTTAGACTTCCTTATATAAAAATCTTGCTACAAATTAGATATAATAAGAATTAGGGACGCAATCTATTTAATAATTAAATTCATGTAGATTAGGGAATGTAATTGTCATAATTCCCGAAATAGGAAAATAACTTTAAGACTATAAATGGTGATAAAATATATCAACAATTGTTCTGACCTTTAGATGGCGTGTTTTTTTCTCTTGAATGTGACAGTTTGACATCTGGAGATGATGAACTTGTTCTTCTCTCCCTCTCCAATGAACTTGATCTGGACCTTTTTCTATTTACTAAAGATTCATCCCTTTTATTTGAAAAGGAGGACAATGATTTAGTAAGTGTTCCATTCTCAGGAGTATGCTCTGGTGAGCAGGAAGGGGATCGCAGTGACCCATAATCTGATGTAACTGCCCGAAACTTGAATGGATTAGATGGGGACTGTTTCACCATCGTGTCTGATAAACCTGCAACTGTTTGACACTCAGGTGAACGTGATGTGGATCGTTTCACAGCTGAATCTGACGAAGTGGGATTCTCTGAAAACCTTCTTGATGGTTTTGAGCTTTGTAACACAGGTGTTGATATGTCCATTTGTGACAATGTCTGTTTTTCTTTCTGTAATGGAGGTGCAGGCTGTTCTACTGTAAGTAGTGGTGGTGACGTCCTGTCCAATGTTGGCAGAGTTGACCTGACCTCTGCAGAAGAAGATGAACTGAACATATCTAATACAGGGGGTTTTTCCGACTGTTTGACAAGTGGTAATTTAGGAACAAACTCAATTTTGTTCTCTGCAATTTCAGGCACATGTTTGTCATTTACAAATTGTACAGGTACTGTCGGATTAGGAGTACTTCCATCAAAGCTGGCTAACCATTTGTGAAAAGCTGCTTCAGACGTGGAATCTTCTTCATTGCTATCTAAATCCATGTCTTCAATTCCACCTTCACTTTCAATTTCATTTACCTAAGAAGAGAAAAAGAAACATGGTTGAACCCATACAGTCTCGTCTTACACTAAACAAAAATGAAGAACCTTTTAGTTAATATTTTCACGAAGCAATGGGCATTATTAGGTTAGTATTATTAGGAATAATTCAAGAAAAATAGTTTAGATATATTATTGAGGGTGATCCCAGTATTGAAATAAAAGTAAATGAAATGATAAAATTAATTTGTCCTGCATTATTTATTCTATTATTTCTTTGTTATATTTGAACCAAATGCATATACAATTTTCCACTCCCCAGCGATAAGTCCTAATTAAAAGAGCCAACATCACACAAGTAATGTGGATTGTTTTGAACAAAAGGTGACAAAGTTGACCTTGAAAATGTTCAAAGGATTAGTTGTAATATCATGGCAAATATGATATGGATATTTTGTGAGGCTTTGTAAACTGATTTTTTTTCTCTTCTGAATAGGTAACTGGACACTGCAATATCATCATAAAATATTTCGGTATAATTTGTACAATTTAAACTATTTGGACATTTCTTAAACATGAAACCTATCAGGTCTAATTTTACACATACAAACTGTACATGTATTATACAAAAATATTTATATATTAAAATAATTATATCATTATTATTAATTATATTTGTTCTATAACTATCCTAGGGAAAATTGTAAACATGTTGCAGAACGGAAACTTTTATATTTTGATATTGTCTAAACTGTTTGGTGATTATGCAGGAAGATTGAAATTACCACACTTAAAATGTATTGCCTACCCTAAACTTTTTTGGACTGAGGAGGAAGAAATGGTGCAAAACACACAGGATTTCAATGAGTCTTGAATGTAACTAAATCTACTGCAGTGTTCTCCAACAAATAAAATTTGAAGAGAAACGCTAATTTGCA